CACACACACACACACACACACACACACACACACACACACACACACACACACACACTCTCCTTAGTCCGAGGGGCATTTCGTGGCTCAGTGTGGAGTTAACGTGGCCAGCAGGTGGGCTAGCAGAGTGCAGAGCAGCAGGGTGGCCGTGGTAAGGTGCAGGGAAGAGGCGGCGTTGCAGTCCTTGCCGGCCTCGCAGCGGGGGGATTGGCACAGTAACCCTTTAAACTCTGGAGGACAGATGCACTTCTGGCTCTGGAAACATGTTCCTCCGTTCTGGCACAGGAGCATCTCCTCGTCGCAAACGTTAGCTGTGAGCGGAGACGAAGGCAGACAGAGAGAGTAGCAAAGGGAGAAGTATAGGGAGAAGGAGTGGTAAGGAGAATGAGAGAGAAGTCAGGAATAAAGACGGCACGGCAAAGTGACAGATTGACAGGCAGTAAAAGGATAGAGGGGGAGTAAAGAGCATAAAGAAGAAAGAAAGATGTATGGCAAAGAGAAAGACAGGTGAGGGAAGATAAGGAGGGGCAATGTTAGAAAAAGAAACAGAGATGCAGGGGTAGGAGAAGAATTCAGGGCAGAAGGAACAAAGAAAAGAAAGCAGGAGGAAGGAACGAGGCAAGATAAATTCTCCGGTCTTTGCCTCAGGGACAACAACAGGTAACACCTGCCTTCTTCTTTTTTTTTTTTTGCAATTCTTTTCTCTGTCTGCTTTTCTTACGTCTGCACTTTCTCAGGGTCAAGTCAAAATCATTGTCTCAAACACAGCAGAAAATCCACTGCATTTGTGATATTTGTTAAGTAATGATTGGAGGAACAAATGGCATCGTTAAAACACTATAAAAGGCATTAGGAAAACCACAGAGGTAGTTGCACTGCAAAAGATACTTAACCTAAAAATGTACTCAGAGAAAATAGAGGGGAGGATCAGGCTTCCATGACAGGAAATAATTACATTGAGCTAACATGTTTTATTACACCAACGATAATAGGCTCCGTTGCATTGGAGTATTTGGAGTAAGATGTCAACGCTAAAGTGGAGTAATATGTCCCATATTGTAGTAAATAAACCCACAGTCAAAATAAATGTACGCCTGTGGAGGTGTGGTCTGTGTGTGTGTGTGTAGGGTCTATGTGAGACTGAGGCCCCTCACTATGGTAGATGGTAGAGGAAGGCGATTCCCTGTAATGGGGTTAAGGAGTGATAGAGTCATCAATTAAAGGAGCAGCTGATGCTGCTAATGAGCTACATGATCTATTCCCCCCTGAGTAAAGATCACGTCGGGAGATGCACAGGCTACACAGTAAGTGGCACAGTGCACCTGCAAACGTCCTGGAAACCTACAACATTTGTTCATGGCTGGATTTATCAGACATGAACCCAGAGAAAACTCTGCCTCCTTATACTCACAGTAACAGCCTTGTTTCCAGTAGTATCCTGGCAGACAGTCGTCACACTTGGCCCCCGTGGCACCGTCTTTACACTGGCAGAAGCCTGTGCCGTTACATCGGTCATGAACCGAACCCATCTGGTTGCAGTTACACTCTGGGGAAAAAAAAAAAGAGATGGAGGCATTTAGAATAAAGATTTGACCAAGAGTTGAAATGAGTTCAGCCAAATATGTGCACATTTGTATTCAGACGTGATTTGTTTTTTGTGTCGATGCTTTTCAGAGCTGCAGCACTGTGTAAGATGAAGTTCGTCCGAAGTACAGAGAAATCCCAAGATGCTGCAGAGATTCAGACCTGAAATTTTCGGCCCTTTTCAGCCATCAATATTCTTGTTTTGCACACCATGCACCTCATGGTGAAAAGGATGCAAAGTGTTTTTTCTATAAAACTCACAGATAATGTGATACGTGTAATAGTGTCTTGACTAAAAAAACTACTGTGATGTAGTAAAACAAGTTACATTTTGGATGTTATCCCCGAGATTTGATCCCACAGACTGTAAACAAACTGTCCCAAGGATTCTAAGAGGCTAACGTTTGCCGTTGGCTTCCTAATAACGGCACCTATCGCAAAGCCTACCACACTGGGAAGACGGGTGTCAGATGTTTGGGAAACTAATACTATCTAAACATAACTGCAAGTTCTTTTTTTCGCAGAATATCTCCTTTATATAATATTATATAATAAAACAAATTCAGGCTTGGGCAAACTTCATATGATTCAAATGGCCTATAAATCACCACAAACTAATGTTTACTTTCAGAAACACCATGAGCTCTGCTCCCTACCAATCACAGTAACTTGAAAACCGAGGGTTAGTAAACTTGACAAACTAGCAATAGTACGCTAGGTTTAAAAAATGACCCAACAGAAAAACCCAGCGCAGTGTTGCCAACAGCACGAGCTCCAAAAGTTTCTAAATCGAGCAAGAATGTTGCCAAGTTGGCAACACTGACAGTTTGTCCCTTCAGGCCTCCTTTCAACGCCTCTCCCCCAAAATGATCATTTTGAAAGTAAACGTTTCCTAATGAACAAAGACATTCATTTCTTTAGACTGAATGAAATGATATGATGGTCTCATTACAATCCTGTGACAGCTAGAGATGCAGGATATTTCGTTTTTATTTTTGCAGAGCATTTGATTTATTGATTACCAAACATAGCGTCAACACAAGATGACATTGGATTTGTTCCATTATTCATATAAATTACACTTATTTCTGCAAGTGGTTATCATTACAAATGCATATATTTCTAGAAGCTGACTGATATCCAGATCAGTGGTAGCAGATCAGAGATGGTAAAAAAAGTGCACAGCTGCGTATTTGCTTTGCATCTGTCTGTCGGTTGACCAGAGTTTCTCTTATGATCTGATGTAAGCCAGTAGCTTAAGCTAAACCCACGATCAAATTAACTCATTTATAATAAAATTATAAAATATTCATAGAAATGAAACGCATTACACAACCAACGCCATGCGGTTGGTATCCGTGTGTTTGTGGGTCATGTGCATTAATATTGGGATTGTATGTGAGCCACTGAGGGAATGTGTAGCTGTGTAAAATGTCTGTGCAAATGCATTAATGCTTGAGAGGGCATGGTTTCTTGCTCTGGAGATGCCTGGTGCGAACGAATTTCTTTTGCCATGCTCGGTGTGCCAGTGTGGTGCCAGACGAGCTAATGGGGCCTCCTCTGTGCCGACTCCAAGGCCTGTTTGCGCCCCAACCGCCACAAGTTTAACCCTCCGACCCCCTGCAGTCCACCTGCAGATGGATTGCTTTAAGGGTGCTTGAGGGTGTTTGCATCAGTATTAGTCGAACAATGTTGGACTTCTAAACCATTTTTACACATACTGTACAGTAGCACTACGCTGAACTATTATTACCTTTTATAAAGTTGCTATTGTGAATATTTTAGCAAACAGGTGCCTTTTTTACAAATCCAGCAGAAATGGAGCAACATTAGCGAATCATGTTTCTTGCCACCTGACACAAGGAAGTGTAATATTTACCCTCATTTTAGCTCTAGTTTAATCGCCACCAACACGAAACATCTGTGTTTTTAGCTGCTACATGCACCACTGTGTTCACCATCCCACCACTGACCAGATAGAGTACAGTGGGTTTTTAGAGCTAGTTTTCTGAAAACGGCTGCCTGCAACCAAAAAAGTTGAAAAAAAATTGTGGGCTGTAAAACCAAAACAATGTCAAGTTTTACTCACTTTTCAGCCGATGTGGACAAACACACTCATCTTGAATCTGACATATCTTTAAAGTTATAGTTGTATCTTTTCAAAGCATGTGTTAAGAGAGCCAATGCAACAAATTGTGTTTTGTAAAAGCGTCTGAAAAGCAGCTGCTTGGTTGAAAATATATGTGATAACATTTTATAATTTTTTTAAATATAAAAAATATGTAGTTGCTTGTATTTTAAAGCAACAACGCCTTCTGTCAATCACACACAACACACACACACACACGCCGTCCTCTACGCACTCCTTCTTTCCCCCTGCACACTGACCGATGCAGACGCTCTCATCATCCAGTTCGGCAGAGGCGTTGCGGAAGTATCCCAGTCTGCAGTGTTGGCAGTTCTGGCCCCTGGTGTTGTGCTTGCAGCTGACGCACGTGACGATGTTCAGGTAGTCGATGTAGCTGCAGCGGTTGGAGTGGCTGTAGCACTCACAGTCTGAAAGAAGGAGACATGTTTGAGTTCCTTTACTAGAGGAAGATAATTATACATGTTCATGATGTCAAAGTCAATACTTGGGATGGGGTAGTACCCTTGTAAGCATGCTCATGGGATTCTTCAGTGACCGGTGGAAGTGATAAATGACTTGCATTAACAGATGTGTCTGATGGCTTTAGTTTTAGACGTCAGTGAACAAATGAATGGCTCTGAGTGTGTTTTATGACTTGCCTTTCTGACTCTATATTGGTTCAATAAAGACAGACCACTCCCTCTCCATTACTACACTCACAGGTTTGCTGAGTCTTCTTCGCTGGGCTGCACTGATTACTGATGGGAATTCCACTATCCTGTGTGTGTGTGTGTGTGTGTGCATGCTTGTTTGTGTATATGTGTGCAGGTGTTTGAGTACAGGTGTGTTAAATGTGTCTGGGAGTTTAATTGCATTACCAGATGAGTAGATTATATGCCCAAGAATCATAACCAAGGGAGTTTGAGGTGAGTGATACGGTACAGTAGTTGTTTTCAGACTGCACCCGACACCATAAAATCGGTCTGACACCACTTAACTGATGGAAAACCTCCACTGCGTCTCCTCTCTTTCACTGTTTGTTCTTCATTTCCACAGTCTTAAATTCTCTTCCATAAGGCGCTGCACAATCAGAGCTCTTTATTAAATTTTCCCTTTGTAATTCATGAATTATCTGTGAGGATTTGATTAATCTTCATGCTCATACGCTTGATAAATTAAGACTTTATCCATATTTCACACCCTAAAACCAAAGCTAAAAAAAAAGACGCTGCAGAGAATGGTGTTTTGTATAATTTTTCCACAGAGGGAGAAATGAAAGCCTGATATAATTTACTCTAGGATCTGCATTGTGCAGAGGGGTACAGCAAGTGTTGCTCTACATTCTCACTAGTATCTTGGCTGAGGCTGGTAGCTAATTAAGGTTTTATTAAGCTTTAGAAGTTGCCTGCAATAGTGCGCTGCAAGGCATCACTGTCCTCTAAAGAGGCGTTTACCAGGCATGTTTATGCAAATACACATTTAAATGCACATTAAAAAGTCTGAGTTTAGCTGTTTAATCAGCCGTCACATTATTATTTTATTATTGTTTGGTTGATGATGCTAGCTGAAATATTAATGAGCTGGTTTAAAAGGAAACCAGCGAGTGCAGCGCCATAAAGTGCCTCTCTCAGCACTGAGGAAACCATGCTAGCGGTGGGGGAAGAACTGCCTGATTAAATATAAATGCCCAATTACGCCACAGACTAGAGATGCAATGGGACATTGTTCCACAAATTACCGTTAGGAGTCAAGATGCTGCTTTATTTCTGTTTATCAATTGTGAATGGTTCACGGTGAGAGATGGTTACATTGACAGAAATGAAGAGAGCTGCCTACATCAAAGAGTCTTTAAGGGTGAAGGAATAATGGCACATTTTGCTAACAAGCATACTTTCTAAAATCAATGAACAGGAATGTCAAAGTCTGCGTTTGTTTGATGGTTTAATATGAATTTAAAGTCTAAATACTTACCTTGATCATGCACATAAAGCAAAAACACGACCAAGAGGGAGTTGCATAGGGAAGAGAGGGAGCAAAATGAAAAACACAAGACATGCAATGAAAGGAATTTTCCCACAGGTTGCTGCTTGAAAAAACAGCATCCACACTTAAGTGAAATGAGAGTTTACAATCGCTGATCTGAACCAGAGGATTTAACCAAGCTCGAGTCTCCTGTCTGTATTTTCAGACCAGGTCTCTTACCTCTGAAATCATTGTATATGATCCCATACAAGTGTCTGGCCTGGGGCTCTCCAGAGATCAAGAGTTTCAGGAGCCCTTGAGGGATGAAGGAGTCTTTGTTTAAGATTTATCTCCACGTCATTTACGGTGCTCTACAGCTCTATACCTTCACACAGCTGGGGCAGGTATAGGTGGGCATCAGTACTTCAGAGAGGTGCTATGGATTAGGTGGATGGGATTCCCACTAGACTCTACCTTAAAGAAGGGGGTTGCTTTGTTCTATAAAGCTGACATAATCTTCACCTAGTGCAGTGTTTCTTAACTGGAGGCACAGAACCCAAAAGTCATCCTCAAGATTTTCTTAGTTTGTCTTCACATGATCCAGAGTTTTCAAGTCAAGTCCTATTTGTCAGCTCAATATTTGACTGTTAATATCTGGGGTGGACTAGAAGCTGATGTTTTAAAGGGAGTCATTTTCAAAATGCTCCAAAAAGATGAACTTGTAAGTTCTGTCCTGACCTTGGAAACTCCCCAACACGAACTTTTGTGGTGAGATAAGTAGCTGTTCGCGGGCTTTTGATTGTTTCCCCAACCCCTGATTCCAAGGTCAAGAATGAACTCTTGAACTCACCTTTTACCACGATATAGACTATACGTCTTAAAGTGCTCTAAAAACAGTTTGAACGTAACGTTTGGCACGGTTTGTCTTAAAGATATTCCAAGTGGATTCCATTTTCTTAAACATTTTTTGGGGAAAATCATATAGACCCATTAAACTTTACAGCCTTAAGTGAATAAGATTGATACAAATGTCAGTTTGTAGATTAACCAAGAAAAGGATGATTAACTCTGGGCTCAAATGATTCAAATCACCACATTTAATGGAGCTATAACTGCAATACTGTGTCACCTATTAATCTCATCAGGATATATTTTGGGTCCCAATTAGCAAACGGTTATGAATCACTGTGTTATCTCAACACATGTTCTACCTTTCCTTTTCTCTCTTTCTCTCTCTTCTCTCTCTTCATCTTCTCTCCCAGGAGTGTGTTTGTGGGTCTCATGACTCCTTCTTTCCCACTCAGGTTTGTGGTGCACTACAAAGGAGCAACAACTTGCAAATCAATCTATATTGACGTAGCGCAGATCATCGCAGGCTGTTTTACCAAACGACGACAACAACATCTAATGATTTGTGAGAAACCGTTGATAATATAGATCCTATTCACATATAATGTAATCGACTAAAAGACTAAGGATTCTTCTGGGTATTTAGCACAATAAAAAGTTCTCTTTTCTTTTAAAAGTATCATGCAATTGCTCTTACTATCTATAGTCACTTTAACAGACCGGACTTTAAACTTAAAAACAAATTATTTTGAATGCAAAAACAACATTCTGTCTTTCAAGAGCATTTTCCATGTGAAGTTCATTTTGCCTCATAGCGTATGTTGACTGACAGGGTATCACGTAGCTAGAGACAAATTTAGATACATTTGTTGTTCCCAGTTTCTGTTTTCACTGTGAGCTACCAAGTTTAATTCACAATGAGTTTTTGCATACTTGCTGCACCACAAACAATCTACAGGAGCATTGCCACCACTACATATAAAAGAGATGCCACTCTTTTCACCTTTTCTTTCTTTATGCTTGTGCTGATATTGTGGGGAAAGTGTGTCTACTGCATACTTACTTCACTACAGATACACTGCAGTATATAAAACTACAAGACCATTGCTACCACTACATATAAACGATACCTTGCCCGTGCCCAGATGAGGTTGTTGATTTGTGGCCATGGATCTCATGTCCGTGTCCTTCAGACATGTGGGAAACTGTCAAACCACAATCATCATAAACATAACAAGCAAAAGGATCATAGGATCATATGATTGTATATGCTATTTTTCTCAGCAACCTAAATAAGCAATGTATATTTGTGTGTTTTTTTTACTTGGTTCTACTGTCCTTTTCTTGATCTGATCTTGAGTCTCGGATAAAAATATTTTGCGTCTCATGTGCGTGTCCATGAGACTCATGCTCATGTTCCTCAGGCTTGTGGGAGACTGCCCGAGATCATTGTCAACAAAAGAAACAAAAACAAAGATACATTTCTGCTTTTTTCAGGGGCTCATTTTAGTTTAGACAGCTGAAGGTGTATCTTCTATTTACTGTGCTAAAGGTCAACTATAGTATATAAAACTACCAGAACATTGCCACCACTACATGTAAAAGATATCCTCTCAGCTTTTCTTTCCTCCGCCTCCCATTCCCCCCGTGCCTAAATGAGGTAGTTGTTTTGTGGTCATTAGTCTCATGTAAGTGGCCATGAGCCTCCTGTACGTTTTCCCTCAGGCTCGTGGGACACACAACACATTTTATTAGAATTACTACAGTATGCACAAAAGATTCAACTTTTCGTTCAGCTTTTTTCCCCTCCCCGTGCCCAGATGAAGTTGTTATTTTGTGGCCATGAGTGTCATGTTCGTGTCCATGAGTTGCCAAGTTTAACTCGTAGTAAAAGTGTATCCACTGCATATTTATAGATACCACTACAGGTCAACAACAGTACATAGAAGGATATACCTTCATGCTTGTCCTCCCTTTTGGTCCCGTGCCCAGATGAAGTTGTTGTTTTGTGGCCATTGGTCTCACGAACGTGGCCATTGGTCTCACGAACGTGGCCATTGGTCTCACGAACGTGGCCATTGGTCTCACGAACGTGGCCATTGGTCTCACGAACGTGGCCATTGGTCTCACGAACGTGGCCATTGATCTCACGAAGGTGGCCATTGATCTCACGAACGTGGCCATTGGTCTCTTGTACGTGGCCATTGGTCTCTTGTACGTGGCCATTGGTCTCTTGWACGTGGCCGCGAGTCTCTTGAACGTGGCCATTGGTCTCTTGAACGTGGCCATTGGTCTCACGAACGTGGCCATTGGTCTCTTGTATGTGGCCGCGAGTCTCTTGAACGTGGCTATTGGTCTCTTGAACGTGGCCATTGGTCTCTTGTACGTGGCCATTGGTCTCTTGTACGTGGCCATTGGTCTCTTGAACGTGGCCATTGGTCTCTTGAACGTGGCCATAGGTCTCTTGAACGTGGCCATTGGTCTCTTGAACGTGGCCATTGGTCTCTTGAACGTGGCCATTGGTCTCTTGAACGTGGCCATTGGTCTCTTGTACGTGGCCATTGGTCTCTTGAACGTGGCCGTGAGTCTCTTGAACGTGGCCGTGAGTCTCTTGAAC